CAAAAGCTCAAAGATGGATCTTTCATTTATCTTCTCTTGTACGTTGACGATATGTTGATCGCTTCGAAGAGTCAAAAGAAGATAGACAAATTAAAGGCTCAGTTGAATCAAGAGTTTGAGATGAAAGATCTAGGTGAGGCCAAGAAGATTCTTGGTATGGAGATAAGCAGAGATAGACAGAGAGGGAAGCTTTGTTTAACACAGAAGCAGTATCTGAGAAAGGTATTACAATGTTTTGGCATGAATGAAAATACCAAACATGTAAGTATCCCATTGGCTTCTCATTTGAAACTTAGTTCTCAATTATCTCCTAAAACTAACGAAGAACGAGTGTATATGGCAAAAGTTCCATATGCTAATGTAGTTGGGAGCTTGATGTATGCAATGGTGTGTACGCGTCCTGACATTTCACAAGCAGTTGGAGTTGTGAGCAGGTACATGCATGATCCTGGAGAAGGACATTGGCAAGCTGTGAAATGGATTCTACGGTATCTCCAACAAACCGTGGATGTTGGTTTAGTTTTTGAACAGGATGAAGCACTTGGTCAGTGTATGGTTGGATATGTTGATTCCGATTATGCTGGTGATTTGGATAAGCGTCGATCAACTACTGGTATTTGTTTACTCTTGCTAAAGCCCCAGTAAGTTGGAAGTCTACATTGCAATCTACGGTGGCCTTGTCTACTACAGAGGCAGAATACATGGCAGTTTCAGAGGCTGTAAAGGAAGCAATTTGGCTTAACGGGTTGATGGAAGACATGGGAGTTGTTCAAAGTCACATTAGTCTCTATTGTGACAGTCAGAGCGCTATTCACTTAACGAAAAATCAAGTCTACCATTCAAGGACTAAGCATATCGACGTGAGGTATCACTTTGTGCGGGAGATCTTTGAAGAAGGAAAGATTCTACTTCAGAAAATTGCGACATCAGAAAATCCTGCAGATATGATGACCAAGGTGGTAACAGTAATCAAGTTCAATCATTGTTTGAACTTGATTAACATCCTGAAAGTATGAACACCTTCGGGTGTGTGGCGCTTGTGAGCGCAATTAGAGGCACTACAAATTTGGGGAGTTGAAGAAGTTGAGTAGGCTTGGTAATTTCAAGCCAAGGTGGAGATTTATTAGATTTGTCTAGAAATTAAGTTGACAAGTTGGAAATTTCATCTTGGTTGGTGGCCAACTTGTTGGAAATTTCATCTTGGTTGGTGGCCAAACTTTGAACATGTGAATTCCATATTTGGTGGCTAACTTGTACACATTGGAAAATTCTTTGGTAGGTGGCCAAACTTTGAACATATTGTTCTTGAAACTCAACTATAAATAGACTTTAAGTATTTCCATTAGAAATCATCCCAAAAACAAGTTCTCTCTTCCTCTTGTATTCTTCATTCTCCCACTTTGGGAATTCCAAAGAATTCCATTTGTTGTAATATTGGCGATATAGTGAAGTTATCATCCGGTGTGGTGCCCGAGGAGTAGACGATATTCTCGTCGAACCTCGTAAATTTGGTGTGTTCTCTCCTTTATTGTTTTTTATTCGATTCTTTTCCATTGTGTTTCAATATTCAATAGTTTGACAGGTTTATCCGCTGTGCAACCTTTGGTGGTTTTAATCTTGACATTTTAGGTCAATTTTAAAACTATTTTCGTGTGGGAAATAACCCGTTTTCCCCAACAATTACTGCAAGGCGCTGTTCAGGAGAATTGCATAGTTGGTAGGACAAGTAGTTAAGGTTGATTATAACACTCAGACAGACGACTGACGAGAGGGGAAAATTTGCAAGGTTTAACAGTCATGATAGACCTAAATAAACCGCTAAAGGCGTGCATGCTCATTGACAACTTCATCCAAAAACTCGAATATGAGGGTCTCCAACAGATTTGCTTCACATGCGGAGTCTATGGACACACCAAAGAAAACTGCGGCACAATCAACCAGACAGCGACAGTTAAATTGGAAAAGGAGAAGCAACAAGAACAGCCAGCATCTCCAAATATCCACACCAAGGAACTCTACGGCCCTTGGGTGGTCGTAACAAACAGACAAAGAAGAACAAATACAAAAACCCCTGTCAATAACAAAGAGGAAAACAATGGCAACCAACCATGAATAGATGGGAAACAGATTTGGGTTGGAAATTGAAGAAAACACTTGACTGAGAATCAGGGATACCCCTCGTTTGACAAGCTCCACAATTGTTGGAATTCTCCCATGAACTAGTTTCCAAACAAGTAGCTCCACTTTAGGAGGGGCAAGGTTCGCCCAAACAATTTTCCAAATCTTGCTCTTTGTTCCATCCTCGGAAGCCACCGATTCACAAAATACTTTAGGCAAAGTTCAATGACATATCTCTAATCTTTAAGTAAGAAAATTAAAATAAAATTATTAAAATGTTAAAAAATAAAAGTATAAAAAGCTATATAATGATATATTCTAAATCATTTAAAATTTAAAAAATTATAATATATTAAAAAAATTAAACATTTTCATCGTAAAAGTATTCAATTGTCTCTTGTCAACATGAATCTAATAATATATTTTTAGCATAATTAATATTGCATTAGAGTAAAAAAAATATTTTGAACAATTTCTACACAAGGGGAGGGGAAAAGGGAATTCAGCTCCTAGCCCGGACTAACCCGTGTCGCACATCTGATTTTTGTGAGTGAGTCTCTCAGCAAGTACTTTTTTGCATACACAATGACTCGAACTCGAGACCTTGCTTAAGCGATATCAATTTGCTTAGCACTTGAACCAAGTTGTTGGTAATTTTGGCTTTTTTAATAATTTATAATTTATAATATATTATTTTTAGCTTCTTATATTTTTATTTTTATTTAATTTTTAGAACTTTTAATATTGTTTTATTAATTGTTTAATATTTAATATTTTAATATTTAAATTATAAATAGTTCCTTAATATATATGTATATATATTATTTCAAGATTAAATAAACCTTCAAACTTTATAAAAAAATAATTAAACTCTCAAAATTACTAAGATAATAAATTAGGCTTTATTGTCACATTAATATTATAATTATTAATCAGTTTTGTCGATCAAACGATGGTATTGATTTTTTATTTTTTGAGTTTAAGGATTCAATCGAGTATAAAAAATTAATATTATACATATGATATTTTTAAATTTTCATCGAAATCCATATTACATTATTTTATTTTAAACATCTGATTTGAAAAGAAAAATGCAAACAAACAATTTAAGTTGGACCGAATTGGTCCTTAATCGTATATTTGGAAGATGAGAAGTCACTGTTAAGAATCAAGTAATGTACAAAGTACAAATTATTAATTACTAAGAATTATTACAATAAATATCTAAAAAGATTAAAAATAAAGGAAACTCGTCGATTATTTTAAACTCTGGGCATGGATCGTGCAAGGATGATAGTATATTATGTTATAATATATGTATTAATAATGATCAACTGGCCATATGTCTCAATTTTCTGAATTGGCTCAATTAATTGTACATAATTATATAATGTCAAATTGTGATTTGGTTATCAAGTTTGGAAGGAATCTTCATTCTTTAAGCACGTTCCGTCCACATTAGTATAGTATAGGTCTGATTCAGATTTGTTAATGACCAATTTCTTAATACTTATATCCTGTCTCAATTATAGATTTAATCTTCAGATTTTGATTTAATTGTTTTAATTCTTGAAGTTCTTTGAGTGATCTCAACGATAAAATAAATGTTATTCTTCTTTGAGAATTTGAGTTTTAGTAATTGCGTCTGTAGAGTGTGTGTGCATTGGCATTAAGCTAAAACATTATGAACATATATTACATTATAATCACTTCATACTATTCGAAAATATAAATTCTTGTAATTTTAAAATATTAATCAAAATCCAAAGAGTATTAATTAAATTTGTGAAGTCAGATTTTATTATTAGTTAATGTATTATGCTTAAGTTTTAGATATAACATATGTTATCCAATTTAATCCTTTTAATTTCTTGTAATTTAATTATATTATTGATTTAATGTTTGAGTTAAGACCGAAATTTCAAATTTTAAATTGAAGATGATAAAAATTATCAAATTAATGTATAAAGACTAAATTCACAATTCGTATATAGTATAAGGACTAACGACATTAAAAAATATACGTTTATCTTACGTGAAACTTAAGAACATTCAAGTCCATTTCATCTTTCAACCTATTCCATCATAAAAGAAACATGGTGAAGAAAGTTAATATTCTAGTTATATTTTACAACTCGATTTGAATTTGAAATTATTTTGAGTCGATTCGAATTTATAAAATTAAAACTCGTAATTAATTTAAATCGAGATTTTACGAATCAAATAGAGTCGAAATAATCGATTTTTCGAGTTTAATCGAGTTTTCCTCCCTTAAATTGTGGGCATGCATGGAGGAAGTGGTGTTCAACTGTTCATTGTTCATTAACACCTGCAATCATCCTAGAACTAGACCTCAATGCCCAGGCCTAACCACTCTCTTTTAGCAGCCCATTATAAACCACCCAAACTGGACTGGCTTCAGAGAACCCTTCCCAATCCCAACCAAAAGTTCACAAGTGATTCTGTGGATTTATCATACCGCAAACGACATTCCAGGAATCAAGTGCTTCCAAAATATGATTGTCCCAAAAGCACATTTTTAAAAGATAAAATGGATTGTGGACTGTGTTAAAGCCTAAAGCTTTATCACCTGGACCCTCAAGCAAACAACTCGTGTCCATAAATGGAGCTGCACCACTAAGTTTTTATTATAGGTTGATCCCAAGTTTCTGAATATATAAAACATGTCACCGCACATCTTGCAATCCAACGGTCTGGGATCAAAACACAAGGGTTTTGAGACTTATGACATGAGATTCCGACTTCCAACCCCCTACGTCAACGCTGTTTACGTGTCTAAACGCCACGTGGAAGATGATACTATTACTATACTACTATTTAGTGTTCATAATAGACAAACTTCTGATGTCTATCCACCACAACTGAAAGCTTTTACTGTTGGGAAACTGGAAACGATGAGAACTTTACATACTTCTTGTTCCAAGTCCATCATTGACAAGCACAAAGATGTAGGGTTTTCTTCTTCTTTTGAGGATCTTTCCCGCAACAGAGCTCAACTATCCTTATTCCCTTCGAGAGATTTTGTTAGAATCCGATTCTTGCATCTTCTTTCACTGCAACACAGGCGTCTTCAGCCTGTTCTTTCATCTCTTTCTTCCTCACCAGACTCACAGGCATGTACCCTTTATCCCTTATGTTTTTTTTACTGATTCTTGAATGGTTTTGGTTTCTGGAAACTGTAATTCTTGTTGTTTGTTGTCGAGGAAACTTGTTTGTATGATTCCTAAGCATGTGTTCCTTTTACAATTCCCTTTATGTAGGTGGACTTGGGGAATATAGAAACTCAACCTGAACAAGAAAGTAAGATCTTTTAGCCCTTTAACTATTTGTTTGTTGTTGATATTTCTGGAATTTTGAGTCTCATCTTCAATCCCCTCTAATGCACAGTTGCATCGAAGACTATTAATATCAAATTCCAGTTACAGAAAGAGTGCTCCTTTGGAGAGCATTTTTTCATAGTAGGGGATCATCCTATGCTAGGGTCATGGGACCCTGAAAGTGCTGTACCACTGACTTGGTCAGCAGGACATGTTTGGACTGCAGAGCTGGTAAGGAGGAATTTATTAAGAATGTGAAATGTTCTTTGTTGAAACTTGCAAAGGCCAAGAGATTTGTTGTTTTGAACTTGCTCAGGACATACCTGTTGGAGTACCTATCCGATTCAAATTCATTCTTAAAACTAGAACTGGGAAACTTTTGTGGCAACCGGACCCTGACCGGATATTCGAGTCCCGCGAAACTAAGAATACCATTATTGTTTGTGAAGACTGGGAAAAAGCTGGAAATCAAAAAGTCACAGAGGAAGAGCCAATAGCTAATCAAGATGGACATCTTCTTGATTCTGAGATTGCAATTGTTGCAGAAAATTTGACACCTCCAAAGGAAGAACTAGTCCTTGAGACAAATCCCACCTCTCCTGCAAAGGAACAATTACAAGCATTATCTGAGGAATCAGCCACTGGTGATTATGATCCTTCACCAGAGAAGCCCTTGGCTATTGTTGCAGAGAATATTAGTTACACAACAGGAAACTTAATTGCAAATGCAGATAATGGAGTGCTCGGTTCGAATAAAACTGACTACCCTGATGATGAAGCTTCAGATGTTTCGAATAAGAATGTTTTGGTAGCAGAAGACCTTGGAGATATTGACAGAGTAGAAACTGCCGATGCCGAGGGAAATTTGGTAGAATATGAAGGTAATCCTGTCTTAGTACCTGGCTTGAGTCCTTTAGCAGCAATGTCACCTGAAGAATCGATGGTGAGTGAAGATGAGAATATTAGTACAACTGATGCATCAGTTGAAGTTAATGAAGCTTTAAATCACAAAGTGTCCGAGGTAATCGTCTGATGAGTGTATTGCTCTGCCCTTTCTTTCTTTTCTTTTTCTCTGTCTTCTCTTCCATTCCTGTTAAGAAATTTCATGTTAGCTTGTATCTTCTTGAGAGGATGTGTAATCAGCAATGCTGCTCTTTTAATCCCTCATCAATGAAGTATTAGCACATTATTCGAAATGCTCTATCATAGCAATGCTGCATTTTTCAGTTATTCATATATATGAAGCTCCAAATGTAAAGGATAAACTTCACTGCTTGATCAATTACTTGCTCATTTGACAATCTGTGATACCTTGATGTGCACCTGACAATGATATGTCATTCTCTCCCCGTGCAAAATCTGCCATGGTTGTGGTATTGCAGCTTATATTTTTCATGTCATTTCCTTTTTCTATCATATTTTAATGCCGACATGATAATATTCAGTCAGAAGAGAAGCAAGAACCAGAAGGTGAACCACAGGAAGAAGAAACAATTGTGGTAGCCAAAGAAGATGTGGAACAGCTCAACCAACATATTCTGGAACCCCTGGCAGCCAAAGAAGGACAACCTGATCTGGAGCCTTATCGAAGCAACATGTTGCAGAGTGATGACCAATGGGGCCGTAACACATTGCAGAAGCTTCTCAGTGGTTTAAGATTTCTGTAGCTCATTTAGACTATACGAGACGTTATAGTCTCTGTAGTATGAATGCTCATTGCCATGCTTGGGTTCTGTTAAATGAGAGGGTTAGATACTGGTACTGCATTAGTTCTGTTAGCATGTACATACAAATATTATTGCTTCCATTTAATCAATTAGGTTCTTGTGTATTCTACCATGTGAAGTCACCAGAATTTTGTACAGTTCGTTTATGGTGTGTGCTGTATTAATAATACCAGGAGCTAACTGGTTCAGATAATAGCACTTTAGGTCCATATCGGTTTAAATTCAAATAAAATTCGACTTTTATCCTCATCCAATTTTTTAGATTAAATACACAATAAGTCTTTATTATCTTGAACTAGATAATTTTCCCCTCCTAATATTTGATCTTGGCTCCATCCTTGATAGGTGTCGTGAACGTAGAAAATTATATTTGAATAGTTTTTTCGTACCGAACCTTGTAGTATTCAATTTAAATTAGTAGGTTAATAAATCAATATCAATTATTATAAAATATTATAATTGCACTCCTATTGAATTAAATGTAATTAAAACATCCAATTATTACTTTAAAAAATCATCGGTACTTATCAATTATAATGGTGACTTGTATGGATACGAGCTATTACACTTAAATTCAATCAATTGGTAACTTACCAAACACATCCTACGTAAAAATGCTTTTAATTTACGGGTAAAAGACACTATGCCACTTAATTATATGTTTAATAACAAATGAGTTATTTTTTAAAAGATGTTACAACTTAATCATTCAATTTAAATTTTGTTAGAAATAGGTCACTCCGTCGTTAAAATTGGAATGGATGCATAATGTGACTGGTATAATAATTTTTTTAGTCTTAAAACTTATACATTTTATAAATTTGATTCTAATTCAAAATAAATCAATAAATTTAACATTTTATATTTGAAAATTCCATCAGTTTAGTCATTTTCTATAATACTGTCAAATCAAACAAATCCATCGAATTAAAGCAATAATTGGATAGCTGCATTATATCATAAAGTAATAAGTTACTGTTAAACTATTGTTATGACAAGAACGTAACAAGAAAATAATATAACATTTATTGGAGAAGAACCAAGACTAAATTGATAGAGTTTCTAAACATGAACAATTAAATTTATTGAATTATTTTTAACTATGACCAAATTGATAGAACATATAAATTTTAAGATAAACTATTATTATACCATATCACGTCATTATTATGTCTGATATTTAACGACCAATGACTTATTTGTTATAAAATTTTAATTGAAGAATAAATTGTAATGTTTAGAAAAAATTGAGTCATTTGTTACCAAACACATAATTAATTGAATTGGGGGTGTATTTGACCCTTAATTTATTTAAGTACTATCGTCACCTTCTTACAAGTTATGTCATCTTCACCACCAAACGGTGCATGGAAGAATCAAATTGTCGTTAATATTATAGCATGGTTCAATTTATATAACTTTACTACAAAACGAGGGATTATGAGCTAATTAATAACAGTCTTAGCTGAAATTGTGGGATGTTGTAATATTTTAACATAGATATAAGGCACATACAACGACTGCAAGAAGCAAAATCTACTGAAAAGCAAAGGGATGGATGCATTTTCAAGAGGTGAAGGTGTCGATAATGGTAGTGTGAAGAGGGTCACTCAAGTGGGTAGCCCAGTTGTTGAGAGGACCTTTGCCAGTCGCAGCAGCTTGGACTGCGAAACCGAGGAAAGCAACCATGGCGAGGCGAGCATGCTTGATCTCAGCCAGTTGAAGGACGGCCTTCTTCTCCTGGTCTGCGGCCAAGCTTAGTGGGTCGAAGAACTTTCCTCCTGGGTACAGCCTCTTTTCTGGGTCGAGCTCCGCTTTCCTTTGGAACTCGATGTACCCGATCACCAGAACTTCAATCCAAATCAATGTTGATATCGAGAATGGAAGGGGTTGCCCCAGGTATGACGAACCCTCCACTAGCTCTACCTGAAATATTCAAACATTTTTCAACGAAATTGACTCCAACATCTGCTTCCTACAAAGCGTGGAAGATTTAAGTTATATGTTAAAACTAAACGAACCTTGCCGGCATCATGCCAGGTAACTCCGGTGATCCACTCGACGGTGAGGGCACCAAGAGTAGCCAACATGGCCCACCTCCCATGTATCAGCTCGCATTCGCGGAACCTCTGGAGACCGAAGACCTCACTGTAAGGCTGAAACGGTGTCGCCTTTACGTCTGCAACCTCAGTTCTGGTCCCGATGATCTCACCGGCCAAGTTCTTAGCCAGGTTCTGGTCCAAAGAATCTAAATCATATTGTAAGTACTCTGCGGGTTTGCCCAACCCGAAAGGGTCGAACCCGTAGTCACCGACCAAGCTTCCGTCAAGCCACTCGGGTGCTACGGCTCCCGGATACCTCCGAAACCGAACCTGGCAACGACTCACACGGAGCCCGAGTAGACATAGGGGAGGCGGGTGCCGATGAAGGAGGATGTAGCGGCGGCAGAGGCGGTGGCGGCCATTGGTCGACTCCGAAGGAAGTTAACGTTAAGTGAAGACAAGAATGGAAGTGAACTTGTGAGAGTTTGGGGAGTTGAATGTCCTATATTTTCATAAAAAAAGGAAGTGGGTAATCAAAGTTTAGGTGGTATTTGTTTTTGTAAACTTATTTTTTAAGCTATATTCAAATAATCATTTTTACTATTAATTTTTAAAAATTATAAAATGTCATTAAATTTAATGAATTATTACAAAATAATCATTATAATGTTATAATAAATTATAAAAGTTCGATAATATAATAATTATTTTATAGTATTTAGATAAATTTATTAATAATTTTATAATCTTTTAATAAGTATTTTATAATTTTTTAAACTTTATTGACGAAAATGATCATTTGTATATAACTCAACGATATCAATATACTTTATTTGAAAAAATATATTAAATAAATATTATACGAATTTTATTATTATAAATTATTACATCTATGAACTATTAGATTTTGGTTTTAATATTATATATCATTTTAAAAATTATTATTAAATCAATCGATAATGAAATCAATTTGATTTTAATTCAATCTGTTTGTTTCGGTTTAAGTAATTGTTAAAAAAATTATATTTTAATTCTCAATTATTATCGATTCACAAATATATCAATACTCGATTTTATAATATCATTTAAATCATCTTAATTTATTCGAGCGGTACAATCCGATTCTAGTAACATCAAAAAATATATATAATATATACTCCATATAATATACATCAATTAATATTTTTCTATTTAGAAAAAATATATTATTTTTATTTATTTATTTATTCTGTATAAAAAGACTTTCGTACTTTACCAGAATTAAAAGATAAGAATCATATTTTTCAATAGTGTGAATATTTTTTTATTAAAACATTTATTTTATCTTTTAATGCTAATAATTGTATGTCCCTTGATTTTCTAAGTTTTTATATAAAAAAATTTACTAAGTTTAATTGTATAATATTTTTTACTAAGTTTAATATATTTTTTCAAATAAAGTGTATTAGATATCATTGAGTTATATATAAATGATCATTTTCGTCAATAAAGTTTAAAAAATTATAAAATATTTATTAAATTTATTAAAATATTATAAAATTATTAATAAATTTATCTAAATACTATAAAATAATTATTATATTATCGAACTTTTATAATTTATTACAACATTATAGTGACTATTTTATAATAATTCATTAAATTTAATGATATTTTATAATTTTTTAAAAATTATTAGTAAAAATGATTATTTGAAGAGGTTAGAAGAGTTTTGAAGACATAAGTCTACGTCTGCGCCAAGAAGAGGACGCGTAGACGTTAGAAGAACTTCTGTCTTTTAAAAAAATAAACGGTCTGCGAAATCTAATGTCTGCGCGTAATCTGCTCGAAGCAGTCATAAGAGCTTTGAAAACCTTAAACAATAAAAACAAACCTTTCGAGATTATATCCATGAAGAAAGAGGGAGAGCGTTGGATGAAGAAGGCGTATCTATCTGACGAATGAGGAAGTAGTGGCCTTATCTCTGCCTTATCTGTTTGTGGGGTCCGGAGATTTGATCGTTTTGCTGTGTCGCCAATGGTATTTGGCTATATTTCTAAGCATTATGTGTTATTTTATCTGATTAGAGCATTACTTTGTGGAAAAAATAATTTTAGTGATCAAAAATATCTTATAATATATGATTTTAACCAATATTTTTTGAATTTGTCAAAATGACTAATTAAATCGCAATGCGATCGATAATTCGCAACGCGATCTCCGGTATCGCAAATCAGTTTCCAGATTCGCAAAGCGATTTTGGACTATTGCAATGCGATTTTGGAATATCGCAATGCGAATTTGGACTATCGCAATGCGAATATGTAAATCGCAATGCGATAGTCGAAGTTCGCAATGTGAACTTGGACTATCGCAATGCGAATATGTAAATCGCAATGCGATAGTCGACTATCGCAATGCGAACTTCAACTATCGCAATACGAACTTCGACTATCGCATTGCGATTTACATATTCGCATTGCGATAGTCCAAAATCGCATTGCGATAGTCCAAAATCGCAACGACTGGTGTTATTGCATTTGTTTCTTAAGAATTTTCTCTAAAAAGATAGTATTCGCGCGGACGTGTATAAGACATGTATTACCACGACCCGACCCGACCCGACCCGAGACGAGACAGACGGCGGCGACGCGCGAGAGTCTCCCTTGTTCTCTATCACTCAACAAGGAAGTGGGAAAGCCAAGCCTTAAATACCATTCCCAATAGTGTTTCTAATACTATGTGGGATTGAGCATTACCAACACTTGTTCCAAATACTATGTGAGATTGAGTCTTAAATAGTGATATTATTTTTGAATGTTTTGCTTAAAATTGCAATAATCGCGATTGATTGTAGATTGACATTTAATTATGACATATTTAATCGTATAATACTAATGCAATTGGTTGTTGATTCAGTTGTTTTAAGGTGCATGATTATTAATTATTTCCTGAATAATCACATTGTATTGGAAACAAGTGTTGGTTGTCGACTATCGCATTGCGAATCTGGAAACTGATTTGCGATACCGGAGATCGCGTTGCGAATTATCGATCGCATTGTGATTTAATTGGTCATTTTGATAAATCCAAAAAAATTTGGTTAAAATCGTATATTATAAGGTATTTTTTGTCACTAAGATTATTTTCTCTACTTTGTGGTTGATGTTGCTACCATGAACTCTATGGATTCATCTCCAGATATTAACACTTTTGCCAAGGACGGATGATCAATGTCGATGATATTATTGTTTTAATTCAAATTCTTTTTTATGCCAAACATATGATTCCTATGGGTTGACCATACAATGTCATTACGCAGTTAATATGCTTCTCAAGATCTTAAAAAATATAAATGTTACACGTGTCATATAATAGTTTTTTTAATAATCATTACGATGTAGTCTCTTAAAATAATAACATTAGAAATATTAGACAACTACTTTAGGCGAAAAATACTATAAACACTTAAAATTAATAAAAAATATAAATTTAGCACTTATTTTTTCATTTAAGTCTTTTTTATATGAGTGATATAAGTTTTAGAGTAAAAGTCAAATTTTCTATCTAAATATACCCATTAAAAAATATTTACCATATGGCCCCCAAAATTGATTAATTATCGAATTAGTATCTTTATATGTTAAATGAGTAAAGTCATGTTTTTTTTTACATAAAAATGCCTTTTTGTTAATGTGGTAGAAGGCGTGCCATGCATATTTTTGACAATTAATTGCAAAAAAACGAGTAAGAGCACATATTAAGTAATGTCAATAAGGATAACACATTTGATGTGGCGTTGAATCAGTATCTTCTAGAAGGTTCAATCACCGCTTCTAGAAGAACGAACAGATCAACCGTTTTTTTGAAATTCGAATTCGAAATTATCTCATGCTTTTAGGATTTTAGTTTGAATATTTTCAATAATTATCTTTAGGAATTATCTATTGTTTTTAAGAATTATCTTTTCATTATTTTTAGAGATTTAGAAGCTATAAATACTCCTCAAGGTAAGCTTGAAAACACATTCAGATTTTATTCTTATTCTTTGCGTTGGGTTTTATAAAAGTTTTTCTTTATTTTCAAAGTTTTTTAATTTTATTTTAAAAGATATTAATTATGATTGTCATACTTAGTTAATTTCTCCATAAGCAAAGGGTTGAAGCGATGACTCAATTTCGATTGTGAGGATTGAAAAGCACCAAAAATACCTTCAAATAATTTTCTAGAGAAATAGGATTGACAGTCGACCTTTCCTTTAAAATCAAAACACTTTTAAATCAAAAGTTGACATTGGTTTGTATGGTTTTCTGGTTTATAGTTGGGAGAAAGAATCGACTAGTAGTAAGTTCGACTTCCTATGAACACACTTAGCAGCGATCCGTTAAGTGAAATTGAGATCGGGCTCAATTCTCATTGAGACAACATAGTCCGAGTCAGATTTTTTCAGATCTTTAAAACTAAGTTGGTGCTTACGACAATAATAGTAGTTAGTCCCCATAAGGACTGAAATTCAAAGATAGATTTTGGATTATCGATTCACAAGAGATATAAACAAGTTACATGAGTTGAGCTCTGTAAACTATAATAGACAAATATCCAAAGTAAAAATCTATTCCGATGATCAATTGGAATTGAGGCAAAGCTGAAACTTGAGGCTGATTTCACATAAATTTTATTTATCTCAATTTATTTATTTATTTATTTTATCCTTATCTCTTATTTCAAACAATTTAAAATCCCCATTTTAATTTTATCTTTATACATATCCTTATTTTTTTCTCATCTTAATTCAATCTAAAATTAGAAAGTACACAGCTACATAAATTTCAAAATCCCTGAAAATCAACCCTATTTCTCTTTATTTCTCTTTACCTTTATTATTTATTTTAGAATAATAAATTATTTAACACGACGCCTGTCAGGTGTCAATCCAAAAAATAATCATATACGAATGTTAAAATGAAAACTATTTTTTATTGAATGATATTCGAGTAAAAAAAATCGTAAAAAAAACATATCATGACATCATTCAACAGTGTTAAAATGTAAGTTCCTTTTTCCTCCAAATCTAAACAAACACGTTAAGGTTAATATCATAATAATTATTTTTTTAGAATTTAGATTTATTAATTGTATACTTCATATTGCAAAACATGATGTTTGGAATTACAAGAGTGAGTAATATTAGGATAATAATTATCTTAAATAACTAACTAGTATAATATTAAAATTTATTCTTTATATATCACTAAATTAATACGCGAGTAATTAAGACTTATCCACTAAACTAAAATCATAAATTTATTTAATTGTTATTAATAGGGGTTAGTTCAAGTAGTAAGTAATTTAATATAACTTAAGTAAGATTTTGAGTTCAAGTCCTTGTATATGCAGAAAATCTTTGCTGGGAGACTTACCCACCAAAATCAGATGTGCGACGCGAATCGGTACAGATTAGT